TGTGCAACTTCCTCCTCTCCTCCCCCAGCCGCCCTCTGGGGCTCCCGGCCACCCGCCTGGCATAAAGAGGGCTTTATGTGGCTGTGTAGGCCAGGCGGGTGTGTGGGGCAGAGGGGTGGAGATGGACGCCAGGGTGGGAAAGCAAGGTCCTCCTAAACCCAGCCCCCACCTGAGATCCTAGACAAAACTTGTCAAGTCCCACACAGACCATCCCTCCAGCATACGCCCGGTAGTATTGGGTGGGTGGCCAGGAGGTACAGGCAGCAAAAACTTCTCTCCTCCTTCCTGGTGCCCCATCTGAGGTGCCTCCTCCCAGGATCCCTGAATCCTTCCCCTGGGACACAGAGCCTACAGACAGAGCTGCATCTATCCACAGATTTATATAACTTCTTCCACAAAAGAACACAGCAACATGTCTAGGTCACTGCACAAAACATATGTAAACCATATGCTTCCTGGGGAGCAGGAAAATAGGGGTGGTGGGGCAGGGGAGGAGGGGAGGGAGAGGGAACTGAGATTGACATGTAAAAGAAGCTTGTTTCAATAAAAAAAAAAATACTTAAAAAACCCTAAAAAAAGACTATGACTCCATAGTCTTACACCCCATTCACAATTGCTACAAACACACACATTGACAAACATGAACATATTATTACCACATGGTCCAATGCATTCATGCAGCTATGTCCTATAGACACAAGTGCACACAATGGTGACAGACTCGCTTGGCCTTGCAACAACCACACAACCACACACATGTGCTCACAGACATGCAATTTCCAGGCTTGTGCTGTGTGTCTGATTGGTAACACATGGATGGCTGGAGGGGGGAGTGGGCTGAGCCTCTAGGGCTAGTGCAGTCCCCCCTCCCATCTCCATAGTCAGGAAATGAAGTCAGAGTCCACTAGGCAGGAGGCAACTGAGCCGCCACGTCGCCATCCCAGCCTGAGGCCCAGCCTGGCCTGTCTCCTGAACTTGCTAAGGGTGAGATGAGGGAGACCCTCTTAGTCTCAATGCCTTCGCCAGCCCCTTATGACATATATACAGGGCTACTAGGGTTGGCTTGAAAGCCATGGGGTCAGGGCTCCACGGCCAGCATTTACTGTACAGCTCCATGTGTGCTGGCAAGGACTAGAGCCCGAGACTACCTTGAGTGTTCACAATCCCAGGTGCTCGCCCTCATGGAACACTCTAAGGGATGGAGGCATGGCAGTGCCAGACTGACACCTCATTCCTACCCCTCCCAACAGGAGAAAGAGAAGAAGTACATGCTGTCTGTGGACAATCTGAAGCTTCGTGATGTGGAGAAGGGTTTCATGTCAAGCAAGCATATTTTTGCCCTCTTCAACACAGAGCAGAGGTGCCTGCTTGCCCCTGGCTGAGCTGCTGAGACCCCAGACCCTGCAAGCCCCAAACCATGCTGCTGTGTAGAAAATGGGTGCACAAATCCAGGGGCCTTCCCTCAGACAGCTACTCAGTTTCTCCTCAGTGCCAGGTCCATGTTTAGCGTCCTCCTCCCCTTACCCTTTTCTCCTCCCCCTCTGCTTCCTCATCCCCTCCCTCCTTTTTCACAGCCACTTAACTTACCTAGTGTCTGCTTGGCACAGAACAAAAGGTCTAAAGCCCTAGTCTCCTCTGGGATGGGCTCGGGACTAGACATCACTTCTCCAGTTCCAGGCTGGCTCTGATAGGTGCTCTTTCTTACTCAGAGATAAGAATCACAGGCAGATGCCATCTGGAAGTCTCCAAAAAGCCAGGGAGGGTGCTGAAGGGGCCTGAGGCCCAAGCCAGGGCTGCCCTGCCTGGCTCTGCAGCCTTCCTTTTGTTTTGAGACAGGGTCTTAGTCTCATTTAAGTAGTCCAGGATGGTCTCAAACTGAAGATTGTCCTGCCTCAGCCTCTTGAGAACAGGCTTTGTCCCCCAGCTGAGAACCGTATTCAGGGCCTTATGCTTGCCAGGAAAGTGTTCTACCACTGAGCTAAATCCCCAACCCCTCAAGTAAGGGCATTAGGGTGTGCCACCATGCCTGACTTCAGTCCCTTTCTTTACATTGGGCTACTTTCCCTTTGAAGCATCCCAATGGCCACAGCAGACAGGAATCATTCCCAACCTACTTCCAAAATGAGAACACTGAGGCTTGAAGAGAGGAGGGACCTTGCCTAAGGTCAACAAGAAAGCCAGGGATGGATAGTAGGCATGAGGACCCTAAAGCCCACACATGTCACTATCCCCTGAACAGGGTGGGGCTTTTCCTCATCCCCCTCCCGCCTACCCCACCCTGCAGGAATGTCTACAAAGATTACCGGCAGCTGGAACTGGCCTGTGAGACACAGGAGGAGGTGGACAGCTGGAAGGCTTCCTTCCTGAGGGCTGGCG